AAAAATGAGACATATTGGGGCTTAAATGAGAGGAAGCTGTTGACGTCACATTATCCTTTTCTTTGCATTAGTCATGCTTTAAAATATATAGAAAAATGTTGTTGATTGGAATATATATTAATATGGGTGGGCTGCAGAACTTTCTGTAGGCTTTCCAGCATATCACAATATTAGTTTAAGCTCAAGGTCAAAATTCAGCATTTTTCGATGTCTCTCTCTCCCACTCCCCTCTGTCACTCCCCTCCCCCCCATTTTTTTTAGCCACCCACAACAGATGTCATATTAAGTGTCATAGCTCTGGTTGCAAATAAATAAATTCTTGTCAATCAGAGCTGTCAGTTAAAGTCCAAAATGTTTCCCTCGCACCTTCTATCTCAATAAAGAAATTCTTGTGTCAAGTTGAAGAAAGAAATAATGAGAACGAATGGGAGGGCTTTTTGCCTAAACACAGTCCCAGGGCAGTATGAGAAAATGTACTATTTTTGTGTTTTTCTGGTATATTTCTGAACTGCCCTTTGTCATGTTAAGTGATTGCCAAACATTAGGGAAGGGTTAAAGTCCTACACTGTTTCCTTAGTGGGCTTTATGAAATTGTTTTCAACCTTGCTGGGTTATAAGATAAAATGGGGAAGATTTACTTAAATCTCAACCCAAACTGTTTATGTTCTCCAGACAAAACCTTATCTTTATCAACAGAGGGAACGATCAGAAAACACCGTGAAGTTTTATAGTGATCTTAAAATATGCTTCTAAGTTATTCTTATAGAATAAATATATATTAAATGAATGTTAAATAATGAATATACATTAAATCAGCCTTTTAAAATATGAGGAGACAGTTGGAAAGATGATGTTTCTGCAGCATATTTCAAGGTAGACAAATGACAGAACACTTTTCTTTGGAATTTTGTTTGCCATCTATTGCACCACAGTTCTACTGCCTGTGCTCTTGAGGTACTGTAGGTTTATTTAGCTGTGTTGTCCAGAAGAATCAACTCTCTGCAGGACATAAATGAATTCCAATCTGTGCCCAAATTTAAAATTGGGTGTGAGAATCTTGGTGCCATTGAGAAAAGAATGAACAAATTGCTCCTGTTCCTGGAGTGGCCTTTCCAAGAAGAAACTGCACTTTGGAGTGCCAGGCTGTTGTATTTCGCTGAAGTCTCTTATTTTCTGGTGTATCCTTCAGCACTCCGTAACTTAGCAGTCCATTCTGGAGCAAGCATGTGTGGATATTGCTGTGGCTGCATCTTTATGTGATCTTGCAAATGCAACAGACAACTTCTAATACTTGAAAGGATTTTTTTTTAATATGAAGCTTTTAAGAGCAAAAGTCACTTTTATTGAGTGATCTGAGGTAACCCTGTATAGAGGAAAGTTTTTGGAGAGTTGTAAGAAAGCAGTTATCAACAAACCATTGTCAGCTGGGGAAGGGGCAAGATTGTTGCCCTAGGTTAAGATTGGTCACAACATTGCAGAGAACTGTATTTTTATTGCTACATGCTTTAAAAGAAGGTTTTGCTCTATTGCTATTCTTGGTCTTGGTAATAAAATTTGTCTTCCCAAGGAAATCTTGAAAAGAGTTTCCTCAATTCCAAAATGTGTTTTTAGCAATAGTTTCCTTGCAGCTGAGGAGGAAACAAATCTGAATTGTGGTTTAATATTGAGAGTTGAAATCATGGAACAGTGTGATGAAGTAGAATGGTCTCTGAATTCACAGCTCTGTAGCTTGACTGGGCTTAGGTGTCAGAGACTGGGCTTAGGTACTTATGTTTGTACACTATACAGGATTGAACTTCTACTTTCTGTTAAGATGTGCAAGAATTAAAAATCTCCAGCTTTCTCCTACTAATTAAAGCAAGAAATCTTTTAAGAAACTGTTCCTTATTAGAAAATCCAGGCCTTTCACAGTAAACTGTGATTTTTTTACTGTAAAATGAAAGGAGGAGGAAAGCTTTTACACAGAAATGCTAATAATGTTCTCTGTTAGTGCCTTTGTATTTCATATTAAGTGAGTGTTTGCCTATCGGGGCAAGTTCTGTGTCTTTGTACGCATCTACATTCCCTTAATGCAGTCATCTTTGGACTAAATGGTGGACTATTTTTCCAGCTGGGGAAGATTGCTGCTTATCCTTTTTAAAATATCTATCCAAAACCGTGGGTGGACTGTGCTTTGTTAGACAAAAATCATATGTTTGTTTGTTGCACTTGCACCATTAAAATGGCAGAAGAGGCAGTTTTACACTTGGTTTGTTCTACAATGAAAAATAAGTATTCTTTAAATGGCTAATGATTTCACCGTGGGAATGTCATATTGTGAGATGATAAATGGATGGCTTGCGTTGTCTTCCCATCTCTCTGTTCTCGCCAGAAAGAAAGGAAATAAATTTGAATTTGTTAGGAAGAGCTTGCACCTTTCAGGCAGGGTAAAAGATACCCTTGCTAAAAATCCTTCCTAGCAAATTAGCTTAGGCTTGTATATTTCTATAGCCTTTTTGAAAGCATAGTGACAAAGTCAATAGTTCTGTGTGCATCTCTGAAAGATTTGCAAGTTGCTGAATACTGGGCCTTCTAGATTTTTTTTTTTTTAAAGGATGCTTATTTATACTAAATCCATTCACTAGTTAGCTGTCACTGCAGTGAGCTTCTGGGCATTCTGCCAAGTCTTCAGTATCGTCAGGATACTGCATAAAGTACAAAGAAAAATACTTGCCTATGTTTCCATGTAAAATTTTACAAGGGGGTTGTAGTCTCAGATGTAAGACCGTCTTTATTAAAGCGAGAGCAAAACTAGATGAAAAATAGGGCTGACTTCCTATCAGTAAAACTGGTTATAATGCAAAGCCCACTTTGACCCATAAGAATTGCAAATGTCCATGGGTTTAAAAAAAAATAAAAAAATCCCAAATAGAGACTTCTTTTTTAGGCATCCAAAGGTGTTTCTATTTAATATTATAAAATCATTGCGTAGCTGGTTTACTGTGAAGACAAGCCTTTTCTGAAGCATTAAAAATGAACAAGTTTGACATTTTAGAAGCTCTGCATTGCTACTGCTTCTTTTACAATTGTTTCTGTCAGTATTACATCTCATCCCTTTTAAATAATTGTTTCAGTGTCATTTTCTTATCAGAATTTGTTGTTCGTTTGATTAAATTATAAGTTACAGTAGCATATGGAGGAACAGAGATTAGCCACTATTTTTGGTCATACTACAGTCAAGCTGATTGTTCATTTCCCAAATTAATTTCTGTGTAAATATGTGATATATAAAAATAAAAGTGGGAGATTCTCATTTGCAAATCTCGCTGGAGGTAGAGGGCTTCCCACATCCCACCTTGTACATGCTCTTTAGGGTATTTTTTTAACTATATGCATTGTACTGTGGAGAATGAGTCAATGTTTACAATATTTTTGCAGTATTTGCCCCCCTGCTTTTTAAAGAAAAGGTTTCAAAATGAATCCAAATAGAAATTGTTATGCTTTCAGTAAGAATTGAGAGAAAATGTGTATGCATTCGCTGGAGTACTTGATAGGCAATATTACTTTCTGTGGAAAGGCACAGACCTTTTACATGAGTCTGAGAGCGGCTGTATCGTGTACGTTCTGCGAGTGGATAGGATTCAAGTCTCTAACCATACAGCAACAAAAGAACAGAAATGGTTTTGTTTTTGCAGTAGAAAAATAAAATGTAGATAGTAAATCTAGGGGAAATGAGTTGAAATTCAATATGTTTGTTCTCAAGTAATAGCTGTTTTTTGACTAATTTCCTCCTTTTTTTTTTTTTCTTAAGTTTGTGCTTCAGCTTTCAATCCAGATGAAGAGGAAGAAGATACAGAACCAAGGGTAAGATGGATGAATTATATCATCCTTGGTTCTCTGTACAGTCTGGCAGGTTGATGCCTGTATGTCACCTTTTTTCTACAACTTGTTCATTGTGTTCTCAGAGGTTGTGGCAACTCACGAATGTCACTGCTCTTAAATTTGGCACCACTTTATTCAATGTATTTATTTAGTCGCTATAGCTTTTACATTTTATTTCAAAGGTCTTTAGAGTCCTTAAGTCTACCCTCTAGACAAATTTAAATATTTTCCTTTCTTAATGATGATCTTAAGCACTTGCTGATGCCCTTCCTGGAGCACTGAGATGGTTGGGAAGAATGAGTTAAGCTTTAACACAGCTGTTTCTTCATGGGTGCTTAAAATTCCTCACATGCTTTTCACTGCCTTTCTTGTCAAAGCAGTTCTGCCTCAGGAGAGATTGCTGCTCATGAGAGGAATACTTTGCTGAAATATGTTAAGCCAGAAGCCACCTGTTATTGTATTGTCTTTAAATGTTGCGAATTTCTAGGAATTACAAGTCAATATATTGTAATTTTTTAGGGATGCTTTGGTGTGAGGAAATCCTGGTAGCCTGGCTGGGAAGGTTCTCTCTAAGGACTTCTAGTGTTCATTTATCAGGCTTCACCCTGAGGGTGCTCATATTTCTGCAATGGAAGTCTAAGACTAAGTTAAATTCTTTTAAATAGAACTAACTTCATAAATAAGATGGCATTAAAAAAAAAAAGGAAAAACGAAAAGACTATGTTTGATCATTCAAATATTTTTTAAAGTTGAATGTATTTATTCTATCAAAAGTCTTAATTTTCCTGATTGCTCATTAGTAAAAACAAGGTTCCATTTAGAAGAGAGCTCCAAGGTCTGCTCAACTTGGGATAATGAATACCAAGAAATTCTTAATAATGTAATGTTTTTTCCTAGTAATTCTAGAAATCGTTATGTGGTAAATATGAGATCATTAATGTTTATATATACATATTCATAGTTATATGCCTAACAATATATAGCAGATATATAAATATAAAAGAGTGAACTTTGATTCCTTTAATCTGAGAAGAGGTTTATAGTTGAAAAGAAGTACAAAGAAATCTCTACAGCAAAACTTTCATTTTAGTAATTGTGTTGGGGGAAAAAAAAGCACTTAGATATATTTCTCTCGGCCTGTATAGTCATTAAAGTTGTATCATATGTTTTGGGAACTCTCTTTATACCAACAGTAAAGTTTTTTTGAACTAATATAGCCAGAGCTCAAAATAAAATGCTTGATTTTTTTTTCCATTGTCCTAGATGTCCAAGCCTTGATGGGATCTTTTTGCTCTTTCCAGCTGTAGGTACCTATAGCTGTATTGAAAGATGAGAGAAAGAGATCCTCTTCTTCCTCATCTCATCCTTTGATTATGTTATTGCTCATATGTTTGTCAGAATAATTTCTTTTTTATTTTTCTTTCACTCTGTTTTCAGACAGACAATTTAAGTAAATAACAAATCCAGATACTTTGAAGCTCTTAATTTGTGTTCTGTCTTTCCCTCTGAAGATTCAGTCTGTAATCATCTTTATTTACTGTCATGACGGTTTTGTTTTATTTTGTTTAAAGGTAGTTCATCCAAAAACTGATGAACAGAGATGCAGACTGCAGGAAGCCTGTAAAGATATCCTGCTCTTCAAAAACCTAGATCAGGTAATATTGCTGTAAGGAAATCTTAACTGGAGTTGCTGATTTGTATGTACAGATAATAGCTTGTTTTAACAGTCCAGGCACTGGTTTTGAACTGTGATAGTTTATGAATTATTTATTATGTGCAGGCTGGCTTGGGGCATGTATTTGGGGATCAAAAATCAATGAATAATACAAACATGTCAAATTGTCAGTTACTAGGATTGCCAGATCACTTTCCCTGCAAAATGTGTGGGTTTTTTTCCTGTTTTCCCTAAAAAAAAAAAATTCTAATTCTGTCTTTCCATAGTTACTGATAGATACTATTGCACTTGATTTTCCTTTCCCATATGGTTCAGAATTTCATATATATTTTAAATGGGATAAACCTACACAATTCATAATTTTCATATTGAACAGTATGCACAATCCCTTGACTTCAGTATTTTTTTATTAAATATCAACATTTCAGTCAGTTTTCTTCAAATAAAAATGATATTTCTAGGACAGCATTCAGAGTATTATGACTGGCACTTAGAAATCTTAATTAGTTTTTTTTTTTTTTTTTTTAAATGAGGATCATAGGATAGTTTAGAAACTTTGCAAGTCTCTACTGCAGTCTCTTGAGAGACCATAAAGTAAATGCGTCCCACCTCCGGCATGTGTTTTCCACCAAAACAGAAATGAGTCTCCACTAAAAATTCAAACACACTTTTAAAATTATTACAATTAGGAGGAAGGATGAAAGCTGTGACACCTGCAGCTTTCTACATTGAACTATTGAGCTTCTTCTGAGATATAAAAGGATAAATGTAGTTTATGGTTTCAGATATTTAGCTCAGGTTTCCTTGAAAGTCAGGAAATTCTCCCAATTTTCGTTTCTATGCAAACCTTGAGAGACATTGAACTGTATTCCTGAAAAATTGGTTGAAATTTTTTGACTGCAGGAGGCTTGAGGTATTGACATTGAGACAGAGTTTCTTTGAAAGCTGTCCTTCCCAACACTGCCCTTTCACTGTTCTGGGATTCCCCATTTTATGAAGCCTACATTCTTAGACCACTTGAAAGGTGCCTTTTGTAAGGAACATGATTATGAACATTAAAAATGAAATATAGATGAACAGTAAAAATGAAAAATATATAACACATACAGGTACTGAGTGAGAGCAATGACTGTTATCCTAGTAAGGCCCCTGGGCATGTTCAGTACCCACATGTAAATCAAGAGTGTCCCGCAGTTCAGGTATCTTAGAGCCTCTTCCTTTATCGACAGGAGAGCTCAGTGTTTCATTTACTCAAAATGAAAAATCTCAGCCTGCTTATTTTCCAAATAAAACACTGTTCAGTTACTGTATTTTGAGAAAGCTTTTTAAAATCCATGCTGCTTGTTTTCTGACATCTGCTGCTTAATGCCTGTTGTAAAATACGTGGTTAAAACAAGTGGCCTTCAGGCAATGATTCTTTGCTTAATTTAAGTACTGGCAGAGTTTTTAAAGACAAGAAAATAGAATTCTAATGAAAAGGTAGGCAATATTTTTAATATAGTGGTGCCTGCAGATGCCACTATTGCTATTCACAATTTAATGACTGCCGTTAAATATTTGAAGTGCATCTAAGAGTCTAAGCACTGGTTTGCGTGTTTATGCAATATTTTTAGAATCTCAGCTGTGATCTAAATATTAAACTTGGAACATGCTGTCACTGAAATTGCAATGCAAGTCTATTGTTAAAGGACTTCAGAATATTGGAGGTAGTAAAGCATGTCGGCGTTGAGGCAAGGCTTTTGTATTAAACCGTCTGTTAAATTTTGCTGGCTGCTGCCTACAAAAAATTTAATAATGGTTCATCAGAAGCCTAGCTTGAGTCTGCAGTGCTGACCAGTATATTCCTATTTCTCTGTGTGTGTTTGTGTATTCCCCTGTCCATTATCTGTGGTCTCACGCTGAAACTGCAGGTTTTCTGAGACACCAAGAACCTTGGGAAATATTCTGTGCTTATACATAGGCTTATGCTATATGATCTGTGCCTTTGGGCTCTTAGATTATGACAGTGCAAATAAGATATTAGTAAATCATCTTAGTGCTGGTTTTGAAATCACTGTATATTGATGGCAGTCAGTTAAGCTGTTTCAGTTTATACCATGTGAGAATACATACATGCACACTTTAGCACCAAGACATTGTGTAAATTAAACCATTTAGGCATAAATTTTTCGTTAATATCTCTTCTAAAGTTGAAGCATTTATTTTTGCCTGCATTGCTGAACTTAATAAGCTGTAAATAAATGAGGTACTCATAAAAATCAAAATTTAATATAAAAACTTAGATTTTTGTAGGCTAAAAATAATGAAGTGTACTACTGATATCAAGTCAAATGAATTTTGTTTTATCCAGCAGATAATACAGAGGTATATTTTGGCCGAGGGCTGTTTGGTTTTGTTCTCTTTTTGATTTGTTCTGTTTACTTTATAGGAGCAGCTGTCTCAGGTCCTTGATGCCATGTTTGAAAGGAAAGTGCAACCTCAGGAACATGTGATTGACCAAGGGGATGATGGAGACAACTTCTATGTCATTGAGCGGTGAGCAGCTTGCTTCCAAATGTAAACAGGTTTCTTTTCAGCTACTGTAGAAGCAGCAAGGAATGCTCATTGCAGGCTGATTTCCTGAGGAAACCTTCCTTTTACTGTCATCACCTCTGTCACTTGGTCTTTGCATTCTGCACTTTAGGCCTCCGTTGACTTTTGGCTGGGGGCCAGCAGGTTTGACAGAGGTGGACATTTCAAACCTGCTGGGTTTTAACATGTTCTGGTGACTGAGAATTAAGGATAAAATCTCAAATGCTGTTTCCTCAGAGGAAAAGGCTGCAGAATGAGCTTACCTATTGTCTATTAGCTTTTGTACACATCAGCATGCACATGGTTTGAAAGGAGTCGTATGTGCTGTCTGTAGACCAAGGTGGATTTTTTCCTGAAGTGAGGAGGGGAAAAGCAGCAAAAGAAACCATACAGTAAGGGAAAGGCCAAGAATTTCTTTTGGGGAGAGGGAATAAAGGAAACAAAAATCCATACGCACTTAAATTAGTTGCTGTCATGAAACTAATGGGTATCAGTAATTACAGAAATTTGCTTGTCTGCAAGTGCAGATTCAGAGGGATTTGGCTCTTTTGAGGCACCATTAGACATGTCTTCTTGTTCTGAGATCAGTCATTAATACGTAAATATTCCTGAGGATTATTTCCTTTCCTGTCTGAGTGAACAGAGACTTGGTGTGGCAGAAGTAATTCTGCTGCTTGTCTGTAAAGAACAGGCTTTTTAGCACATACAGAAGACTAGGAGTCTTCTGGCTGTTAGCCTTCCTCCCCAGATTGCTTGGTATTTGGCTATCTTTTACAGGCACAGAGGGACTGCAAGGCAGGGCAGACCCAACTTGGGGGTACAGCATAATGCACACATAGGAGAGCTAGGACGAATGTGTTGCACAGCTAAGCATCAATTTGCTCACCATGGCCAAGAAGACGCGCAGTGGGTCTGTGCTGGCTGCACAGTCATCAGGCAGGAAGGGAAGTGTTGGCCCCTGTTGCCTCTGGGAACAGTCTGAGCCTCAGTGTTGCTTAGCTGTCCTCTTCTGGTTTTCTGCCCTTTTTTTTTTTTTTTCTTCTTAGGGTTTTATATTTCTTCATGTCAGTATTTTTCTCTTGAGTCCTTGAGCTTCTAACGATTGCAGTCTCCGAAATTACGCTTTGGTCTGTGTTTTTGTTGTTCTTATCTTGCAGGGTTTTAGCTCATGGACTGTCTTAGCAACAGCAACAGTTTTCTCAATAAAGCAGAACAAGGTCACCCAGTGGTGCTGAACCAAACTTGTCCTTGGGGCACAGACAGCTGAATGCTGGGCCGAAGGTTACATGGCTACAGTGACTTGGAAAAAAATGACACTAATAAATGACTGAGGGTGATGGGTGGGAATGAGAAGTTGCTTCATTTCTCTTCAGTTGTTTAAAATTGCTCTTCTAGATCAAAAAGATGATTCAAACACTATTTCTCCTGATTTTTCTCAGAGAATCATTAAGTGGATATTGAACACTGCAAGAATTTTAGTGCAGCTTTCCAGCAATAGTAATCCATATTTCAACAGTTTACTGTTAATGTGGTGGTGGTGTGTTTTCTTTTTTCATCTTAGGTATGAGTAAGCAGCAGGGTGTAAAGAGACTGCTAGGCAGTCTTCGTGTGTCTGGCTTCCCCCATTAGCTTTCTAGGTGACAGGAACTTCTTTTAGAATCAATAATATTCAAAGATAACTGACAAAAACAGGAATGTCCATCACCAATCCTGAATGCTCTGCTGCTAATGCTAGGTAGGTCTCACAGATTAGACTCTTCTCATACTTGTTTACTATGAGAAGTTTTACCTGCTGCTATTTCTGTTGATTCATTTTTTTTCTAAGGTCCCTGCTGATGTTCTGGGAGATAATAGCATTTTTTTTCTGGTAGAGATTGCAACTTCATGGGGAGAACTGTGTGTGTTCAGCGTATCTGAAGCTACTTACAAAGCCAGGAAGGTGTTCCCTACCTGCTTTTCTACAGGATGTAATACATTTTGTCAAGTCTCTTAAGCCAGTGTCCAATTCCTAAATTCTCTGATATTATAGCCAGGAATTGATCAAGCCTAGTTAAGTAATCTGACTTTTAATGTTTTTCTTCTAAAGCACCAAGCATGAGACAGCCTTGACAGTGGTATAGAGTGGTATAGCTTCTAAATGGCTAGCTTTCTGTGCACAGCCTGTTTCTCCTATGTACCTGCTGATCCAGATTTGTGCCTTCAACTTTGACTCCCGTACATTTCTCTCCATCTTTGCCAGAGTGGTATTTTAATTTCCAGTAAGTTCTGGCTTAACTACAGTCCCTTAGCTACAGTTAGTCCCTTAACTACATTGCAAGAGAGGAAGGGTGCCTCTGAGAACAGAGTGGGGCTATTCCCTTAACTACATTGCAAGAGAAGGGTGCCTCTGAGAACAGAGTGGGGAGGCCTTTCCACCTTAAAGAGGTTACAGCTCCATGTGAGTGAAGTGTAGAAGACTTCTGGTGCTTGAGCACTTCCTCCTTGATCATTTCAAATATCCTGGCTAGATGAAAGCAGTTTAAAGAGCTTTTCTGCTTTCTGAAAGCAAGGTATAACAAAATTTTCTTTAGCTCTGCAGCTTCTGTTTAAAGCCAGTGTGGCTAGAGTAGAATCCATAATGTTCTGCAAAACTGTCAAAAGTTATCCATGTTCCTAGCCATAGGCATCCTGCAGTGTCGCTTCAGCATGCAGAGAGCTCTGAGAGAGCAAAGCAGACTTCAAGCTGGGACGCTGTATGCTATAACTTGTCCTTCAGCAGCCTTACCTCCATGAAAATGGTGATAAAATTGTTTGGTTCAACTGCAGCTTGCCCCAAGCTGTGAAGTTAAACTGAGTGTGAAAGTTCTGGTCATAAGGAAGCTATTAGGCAAACACCAAATGTGAATTGATTTGTTGGTTGCCCCTCCATGTCCTGATGTAAAGATGTGCCACATGGTCCTGAATTAGCTTTAAATAGTCTATCTTGAGAGTCATATGTGCCGCTCATAATAGCGGACAGTTTGCCCTGTAAAACTTGCTAGTTATCTTGGGTATGAACAGAAAGATTCTTTTTGGGATCTCTGTGCTTCTACAGCATTGCTGTTGTCCATGCAGGAGATGAAAAGTTTGAATCTAGAATGGATATACAAATAAATGTACAGTTGTACTTTGGGATCGCAATACAGAGATATTCCTAAGTTTGAGTTAGGTTGAGGCAAAACCTTAAAAGCAGGTGAGTAGTTGGGTTGAGTTTACCAAAAGGTACTGCAGAAATGCTGTCTTTGTGAAAAAGTTAGCTGAGGACATTGATTCTAGTGGCTCTGAAGAGACCTTGTTGAATAATAACACATTATTGAATAATGTGCTGTGGAAAGACTGTGAAAGTACCTATGCCTTGGCCAGAACACTTACAGTAGCAGTGTCAAAATACTTTGCAGAGGAGACCAAATAGATCCCAGCCAGCTCCACCTGGAGTGAAATGCGCTATTAAGAGAGAGGTGCTGTGAAAGTACTTAAGATGCTAGCAACTTAGATGATAAGAAAGCTCAATAAAGTATTTTTAATATCGCTTAGCAGTAAGAGAGCTGTTTTTTAATTTGGAAAATGTTAGTGTAACAGCTGAAAACTCTGTTTATGAACCATGTTGGAAATTTGTCTAATAGCACCTATTCCATTTTTCCAGGGGACTGTATGACATCTTTGTAGCAAGAGACAACCAGACACGCTGTGTGGGTTGCTATGATAATCATGGCAGTTTTGGCGAACTGGCACTGATGTACAACACTCCTAGAGCTGCCACCATTGTTGCCACAACAGAAGGAGCCCTTTGGGGACTGGTAAGAAAAGGAAATTGCTCTCATCTGCGGAATATTTTAGACAGTAACTCACTGGATTCACTAGCAGGTGCTCCCATCAGTATGAGTCCTTGTGCTAATAGCTATTTTATTGTTATTTGTTATCTCCTGGCATATAAGTTTCATTGTGCAAATGCTTTTGGGGACCTTCCTGAAACAACTTGTGTGTAAAAACTGTATCACTAGATGCATCAGTCTCTTTATCATTTTGTGTTTGCTGTAATCTTAACTTCTATTAGGAGAAGAATGAAGACTTTGTTTTCATCCTGCTAGAGGACAGTGGTGTCATTGAAGCCTGTATTTTATGGGGAGGAAAAATACTCCCACTATCTACATACATCTTTACATTTCAGCTTGCTACCATTTTCAGTCCTTTAAGAGTGGGGAGGGCGGGCAGGAGTTCCTACATGAGTATGTTAGTAGTTTGAAGAGCTAGGAAAGCTGCCCAAAGCTGTGTTTTCCCTCAAAATAAACTATTGCTGTCACAATGTTTCTGGTCTCTTTGTGGCTGCCCTACAAGAGGTTCTCAGGTCAGCATGACCTTTAAGATACGATTAAATGATGATGTTGCTTTGTCTCCTGCCTAGCGGTGTTGAATGAGAAACTGTAGGCTTTAGTTTCCTATTTTAGTTCTTTTCTCTGTAGTATTTTGGATAGAGTTATTTTCGCAGTGCTCGCCCTCGTCTGTGAGGGCTCACATAAGTGGATCCATGAAGCCTTTGAAGCCGGGAGCGTTGTGGCTTTCTGTGTGCACGGGCTCCTCGGCAACTATCGCTAGGGGTTGGCCATTTGTTGTGACCTTGATTATGTGCCTGATAAGCTTCCACACTCAGCATGCTTATACACTTTCTGTGCTTGTGCAGAGAACTGACTTGTCACTCCCCTTTTCTTTGTAAGCTGTAAGAAAAGGCTGCAGTAAATCAAGCTGGGCATAATGTCAGAATCTAATTTCTTGTGCAAAACTGGATAAATAATCCACCTGCCAAATGACCTCATTCTAAAAGAATGAAAAGGAGAAGAAGATTCTTCAGTCCAGTTTGCCTTGGAATAAACTACAGCATTTGGGGTTAATCTTCTTTTGTTTCAGTGATTAGTCGTTTCATTAGGAAGGCATAGTTGAAGAGGAGGAACCTCCTGCCAGTCATCTGTCCCTCAGTTGTTGTATTAAGTGAGGTTCCACTTTTCTGCCTTAAACTTTTTCTTCTGAAGGTTCTGTTGCCTCCGTGCTTTATTGCACTGCTTTGTGCTTGCTCTACTTTAAATAGTGTGCTTTAGTAAGCTGCAGAGTTAACTGCTAAAGCTCACTGCTTATTTCCTATTTAAGAAGAAAGTTATACTCTTGCTCCATTACAGTCTTCAGCCAACAGAAGCCTGGAAGGCTCAGACCCAAAGCAGTGATCAAACATGGGCCGCAGCTGAGCATGTCTGGGGAAAGGCCTGTGATTGTGCCCGCCTCCTCTGCTGCTCTGCCCTGTTCAAATACGGCCGTGTTTAAACATCACCAGTTCTCCCACTCACTGATACGCTCAAAGCCACTGTCCCAAATGAATTCTGAACTTCAGATGCTTTTGCAATTCCTCCTTGTATTTATGCACTTACCTGCTTCTCTAGACATCTACATTTGATGAGACTTCTACTGCTGAAACGTTTCTTTAATAATACTAACAGTGATGATAAACAAAAACTCACCTCTTACTTTCTCACCTCTCTTGCTGTTCTATGGATAACAGTAATGTCTTTCTTCCCTTCTTATGTTCCCTTTTCCAACTTCCATGTTTCTGGTCGTGTAAGAAACTCCTCACCTCTTATTCTACTCAGAACCCAAATCCTACCAGGGGACATAGGCATTAAAGTAATGCCTGTGTTAACAGTATCTAGTGGGCGAGTGCTCTTCCCCTGAGCCTTGATGTGCTGTTGTCTTTCCAGCTCTTTTGGGATCTTTCTCATTGTTTTAGTCCAGTAGTTCTGCCCTGCCTTTTCTGTTTGCAAGTAAAAAGCAAGATCGCTGACAATGAAGTCTCTAACATGTCTGCCCTTACAGGTAGCGGGACAGGAGATGGGCGTAATGTGATGGGTTTGTCTTCATGCAGGCCTGTATTGCCACCCAGCGGCCACAGAGCCTCAATAACTGCATCTTAGGAGAAATAAAACATCAGGGCAAGAGGAGAAGAGGATGTTGTCCAGTGTTTGGGCTTTGAAAAACAAACCATCATTGCACGAAATGTGCTTGTGGTGCATGGGGGACAGCTGGCAGCTAGGAGTAAACATTCCCTGGCAAAAGCCACCTCTCAGATCTTGAACGTGGGAGTAGAGATCAAGCCTTTTGCTATTCTGTTTCTTGATCTACCTGCATAAACATCCAATTTGCTTTTAAATACCTTGTCTCAAGAAGATTCAATTTCAGACTTAAGCCTGAAGTCGTGTTGCAAATTCCATTTTCTAATGGCTTTAGCCAGAAACTGACTTCATTGTATGTGGGGTTGGAGTATCTTTAAAAAAAAACCGAGAAGCAAATACTGAATGCTGAAAAACAATACTAAATTGACTAAAAAAATGAATTCTTATATGTTTATCTGGGAAAGACCAAGTTTGTCATAGCTCTATGTTTTTCAATTTGCTCTTACAGTAAGTACTATCAAAGGAGCTGTTACCATTGTGATACTTTGTGTATCATTTTATCAGATTCCTTTTCAAATAAAATGTTACTGCAAATATTAGTTCGTATTATAGCTTCATAAGTCCTTCTAGCAGTGAGCATTTTGGCCAAGAGAATAATCTCTGCTGTTTCTTGCAGGATCGAGTGACGTTCAGAAGAATTATATTGAAAAACAATGCAAAGAAGAGGAAGACATACGAGTTATTTATTGAGTCTGTGCCCCTTCTTAAATCCTTGGAGGTAATGCCTCAGAAATCTGGGTCAAATTCTGATGTTGACATTAGCTCTGCAGTGACAGTTTCTTGTATATCAGGAGCCTATGTGTCTCTTGCTCAGAGCAAAATTTTGAGCTACTTTGGAATTGCTTACTGGACAACTAAATTTATATTGTTAAAATTGTACAACATTTTGTTCAGATTCTTCTTTGTTCACAGTTGGAGGATAAACTGAGATAAAAATCAGCAAGCTATGTGTATAAAAATACCAAAACATAACTATGCTAGAGAAGAGATGTTAAACTAAAGACTGGAAAATTGTGGCTATGATTTCTTTTGAGGTCATGATGCAGAACTAATGACACATTGCACTGAGGTGTTCAGCTTTTATCAGCCACGAATAAATTTTATATTTGTGGCCAAGATGTGGTCTGCAACAGATCTTTAAGCCCTTTACCCATACTCAGGAGAGCAAGCACATGCTGTGATGATGTTTGGGATGTTTCCTAAGCTGTTTAATCGAACTGAATCAGAGGACTTTGAGAGCCATGCCAAGCCCTTTTTAGGCATTGATAAGTGTTCACATTTGGCTTGTACTGTAACGCACATACATATATTTTTAATGATAAGGATTTTTTCAGCATCAATCTTTAGTGTTGTAAAATCCCTTGCAATCCACTTGAGAGAGGATTACAAAACAGTATTGTTAGGTGTGAAAGTGAATTTCTAGAATATATCAATTTGGAGATACTCTGACAACTGTGGAAGGAGAGATTTGCACAACACCTTCGCCCTCAATGCCTGGTTTAAACAGTTCCATCAACGTGACTTTTTTGAGCAGAAAAATGACTCATAAATATTTAAGGATATAGAAAAATAACTTGTTAGCGCTGGATAGCTTTTTGCATGACAAACTGCAGTTGAATCATGCATGCATCAGAATTTACACAGTTCCTTAGACAAGGACTAGATTCAGGTGTGTTTGTGAGAGGAAGGGATTTAAAACTGAATCATTTGTTGAGGTAATAACTTTCTTCCTTTTTTTCTTTTTTGCATGTTTTGTCATGTTATGTATGGACAGCAGGAAACATGAGAGAGAAATTTAACTCTTGAGACTGTCCTTTCTCCCTTCCTGTTTATGAAGGTGGCTATGTCAGATTAGCACCTCTTGCCCTCACTGGGCATCCTGTTGTAGTGCTTGCTGACAGTTCAGACCTATTTCATATCACCTTCAGCTCTCCACCGTAGGAATGAATTCCTGGATCAAACCACACACACATACGCTCACAAAAATCTGTGTTCAAGTGTATGCTGACTTAAGATAATTGGATAATATTTTACTGGTATTTTTCATTGAAGTTTGTGCTTAGAAAGTTTCTGATTTCTTTCTGAACAAATTCTTAAAATGTTAATTGAAACTTACAGGAAGCGATTTTTCTTTTCTCTAAAACAGCTCAATCACTTACTTGGAAACCTTGGGGTAAGAAAAGCATGTGAATGGAATGGAAGTTTTCTTACCCTAATGGTTGCTTTGACAGTTGTGTTGCACAGTGACACTGTACTATATCATATGTAGGGGCTGCATTTTTAGTACCACAGTGTGGCATATGGGTGCCTCGTGAATGCCTCTTCATTTTTATTTTGACAGGGCTGCAAAGTTTGCCAGAAGTGTATTATAGCAAGTGATTGTGTTTAATTTTCCTCTTTGTTCCAGCCTTCAGAGCGAATGAAAATAGTGGATGTAATAGGGGAGAAAGTGTATCAAGATGGGGAACGAATCATTTCTCAGGTACTTGGAGTCTAAATATGCATTATCATTCTCCCCTCTCTGCTTCTTTCTACTTTGTATTTGCTTATACAATCATATTACTTAAACTAACTTTGCATCACTTACTTTTAGTACTTCCAACTTATTTAACCGATTTTTGAATATTTTGAGAACGTCCTACTACGTTTTTTGCTATTTTTTTCTACTGTAAGAAGAAAGTGCCCTATTTTAAATTAAGTTAATGGAAGAGAGTCCTTGGTTTACTTGGAATCACAGAATGGTTGAGGTTGGAACGGACCTCTGGAAATTATCTAGTCTAGCCCCTCTGCTCAAGCAGGGACACCTAGAACATGTTGAGCAGGATTGGTAGGTTTTTGATGACAGCAGTCTTGTTTAATAAACAGAGTATGATTCCTTGATAATGGCTTGAATAATAGCAACCTTGCATGTCAGATAACTCGAATGCCAGAAGTCTTGCTTGCTGATACCAAGTACTGATATTACTTCTCTCAAAAAATCCCTTCAGCTTATAAAATGAAAATCTTGTTGCTTAAGAACTGGAGACTGAACTATTAGGAAAATCAAAGCCTATAAATCTGAGTCTGAACAAAAACAATTAGTGATCTAATTACGCAGTTGGTTTTAATCTTTGTAATAATTGAATTAAGGATAGGAATTTATTTATTAAGAAAAAAAGTAGACTTAATAATGTGGATTGGTCTGGACATTGGTTATACACTGCTGAAGAAGATAAAACTCAATACTTGGAAAAGACTCTGATAGCTCCTATATTACAGAAGTTGCATCACTACCATGAACCTCTTCTCTCATGTGGATAATTTTACATTTCAATTATCTTTCTGGAATTTGATCCTTCAATTAAGTGAAGTATGTTTTAAAGCACTTGAAAATTGTTAATGCATGTCAGCGAAGTCCTTACATCTCCCACCAAGCTTATTTGAATTCTTTAGAAAAGTAAGTAATGACTCTTTCAGCACAGAATTGGGCTGACTGTGTCTGCTGATGTTGTGATGAGAGCTGGCAAGAGTGAATGAAAAACTTTGTGCTGGATGGTTTGCCTCCATCCCCAGCAACCTTAATTTAAGAGCCTAACTTCTTCTGAAACCACAAGTTTAAGCCTTGCATCAACTTCTCACATCATTCTTAAGTAATTAAGGCCTAGTCATCTCTCCATCCTTCTTGTCACATGCTGTCTTCTCGCCCAAACCTTGTCTCTCTTCCTTCTCTTCCAGTTCTACTGCCTTCAATTCCATTCTGTTTTTTTTTTTTTTTTTTTTGTTGTTCTTTTCTAGGCTGTTTTGGCTTTGCCTGTTCCCCTATTCCAGCCCTGCTTACTGTGTCTGAGTTCTTCCACTGCACTTGACTTGATACTGGATTTATCTCCCTCACATTGTGTCCCAGTTTTGATGAGCCAGCTCCCTCCCATATCAGTTCCTTATCCAGACTTCGTCTCCTTGAGGCCTTTATTCTTTTCACCTCTGATTCATGGCAGGAAGAAACAAGCTGTCTGCTCAGAATTCCAGTCCTACACCAAGCCCGCAGCTGCCTTTGCAAAGAAACTCCTCACTATCACAACTAAATAGTTGGGAAGAAATGCTTTCTTGGACCTGCTGGCTGCACATTTGCCTTGTGCACTAGGATCCCCAGCTCCTTTCCTTTAAAGAGGCTCCTTAGTGCTTCAGTACTAAGCCTGTCCTCTTGCATGGCATTCTTCTAGGACTTCGCTTGTCAAACTTCATGGGGTTCTTTCTTGTTCTAGTCCCTCTGAGTAGCAGCCCTATCTTCAAGGTATCAGCTGCCCTCCTCAGTCTGGTACCATCCATGGGTTTGCGAAGGTGCATTCTGTCACATCATCCCATTATTAACACAGCTGCCAAACAGTTTTGGCTCCAAAATCAGCCGTTAAGGGATGTCTTTACTACTAGTGTCTCCTTGGATTTCAGACTCCTGGCCACCATTTGTTGAGCCCATGTGGATAGGATGTTTCTCACTCATTTTCATTCACAGTTTTATGAATTACCCTGTAGTTCTTCTGGGGACCAACATTATGCAGATTGGTCTGTAGTTCCCCAGATCCTCTTGAAAATTTTAAGTTTTTAGTTTTGTTTTGATTTTTTTTTTTCCCTAGAGATATCTCCTACTTACAATTACCACTTTAGGTTGACTGAAAAGGAGCTTCATAGTGACACTGATAAGCTTCCTCAGCTCTCTGAGGCATCCCACCCAGTGCTGTTGACTTATGTAGGTCCAGTTTGTGTAAGCAGTCCATAATTCTGTCTTCCTCTACTTTTGGTCTTTTTTCTTCTGACTGCTATAATTACCATAATCCACTTCCAGACTTGAGATGAGAAATACTTCTGTTCAGCTCCCTATAAATTTTTAACTTGTAAATTGACAGATTTAAAACCTTAATAACAATTTATACTTATATTTTGTATAGGCTCTTCAGTTTTCTCTCTCACACGTTGCTTTGATGTCAGTTTGTCAATTCCAGCAGATTTCTACACAAAGCCTAGGTCAGAATGAACACTTTAATATCATTTTTTCCCTTTCATAGTAAGCTTAAAAGTGATTTGGTTTACCTTTTTCTCTTCACAGGGTGATAAAGCAGATTGCTTTTACATTGTAGAATCTGGTGAAGTAAAAATCCTGATTAAAAGCAAGGTGAGTTCAAAGAGGATGCTTCAGGTTTAAATGAATCCCTGATTTGCTCTGTTAATAGAAGTGCTACACAAAAATCCAGCATGACATATTTTAAGTTGTTATTATTATTATATAGTATTTACCATTATCTTTTTAGGTAACTTAGGTTGTAAATAACTTTACTAAAATTGGAGGGTTAGAGTTTTTGCTTCTCTGCAAACTGACCTGCTCTACACTCTCTGGTATTAAGGATGGGGATAAACTTTCTGCTAGGAAGCCAAAAAAAAAAGGAGGGGGGCAAAAAAAGAAAGGGGGG